TTGTTTTCTCCTAAGCATAAAAGTATTGAATTTTAAAAGCAGAGACAGTTCCTCTCCCTCTTCCCCTTCCCCCCTTCTCCCTCTGCTCCCTCCCCTCCCCCTCCCCCTCCCCTTCCTCTCTTCTGTCCCAGAAATGTCTCTAATGCAATTCAAAGTGTCAGGTCAATAAAACAAGCCCTGGGTGAAGACAGTGGTACTGCAAATGCTTTCTCTGCTATGGAGGTGAAACCTGTTGCAGCCTAGGCAGGTCTCCATGGGCATAGCCTGGGCTGAGGTTACAACAATAAATAAAATATTGAAGAGATAGAAACCTGTATGAGTTCCATAACTAAAAATTAACTCATGGGCCAGGCAGTGGCAGCATGGACTTTTAACTCAAGCACTGGGAAGGCAGAGGTAGGTGGATCTCAGTGAGTTCAAGGCCAGCCAGCCTGGTCTACAGAACGAATACTAGGACAACCAGAACTACACAGAGAAAACCTGTCTTGACAAACCAAACAAACAAACAAACAAAAAAAAAAACCAGCAATTTATGAGAACTGTCATATAGATACCAATCAAAAGAAAGTGTTCCCTATCCAATTACTTTTCCTTTATTAATCAATTTACTGAACTGTTTATCCTAGCTGTTGTTTGTAATGTCTGACCCTATGTTTAATGTTTTAAAAGAATACTTGAAATCTCAGGCAGGGCAGAAGAGGTGGCTCGGTGGCTAAAGGCACTGGCTGTTCTTGCAGAGGGTACAGATTCAGTTCTTAACTCCCATGCAGAGGCTCCAACTGCCTACAACTCCAGTTGAAGGGGATCCCACACCATCTTTTGGTCTCTGCATGGACTGCACACTCGTACAAACATGCATTCAGCCACTCAGATGTACATATAAAATAAAAACGAATCAGTCCTTTAAAAAAGGGGTTTTGGCCTTTGTTTTGTTTCGACTTGGGTATTAAAATAGATGGCATAAGGGTGCTGTGAGCACTGAGTGACACCGATGCAAATCACAGCAACATACTTGACCCTGATGGACTCTAAAAGCCTTGCCAAGACCACTTTGTCATCTTTCTATAAAATCAGTGATGCTACAGGCTGGGAGATGATTCAGTCAGTAATAAGCTTCCCTCACACATCTGAAGACTGGATTTTGGGTCTCTGGAACACACATAAAAATCTGGGCATGTAATTCCAGTAGTGGCAAGATGAAAGGGAGACATAGGTAGGTCCCTGGAGCTCCCTGGCCAAGCAGCCTGGCCTCTGTGACCGAGTCCCAGGTCACTCTTTCAATATAAGAGGTCTATAACCCCATCACACATTTTGGCCAGTGACAAATACTTTGGGGAATATAGTGATTTTATTTTTCTAAGTCATGCCTTTATTGTCTCTTGCCTAAAGGGACGCTTCAGAATAAAAGTTCATGTTCTCAGCTAACATGAACTTGGTCGAAGTGGACACTATTTTTCCCCACAGGAAATGACCCAATGCTCAAGTAAGCAACTGAGTTGTCTACTGTCAGAGGGCCCCTTGCTCACTGTCAGGCTCTTGGAGCCCTGCCCCCACTTTGCTGGATTAGAAACCAAGCTTCCTTTCAGCTTAACCCAGACCCTGTCAGGACACATCAAGTGAATCTTGTAGAAAGCTGCATCTCTGTTTGCACATTCTTCCTTTCACAAACAGGAAGTCAATGTAAGCTCGGGAATTCTTTGTTCTTGTCTCTTGGAAACAAGAAAATGAGTTTCCTATAAAATGAATGATTACCAAACAAGACTGTGGCCACTAATAGATGGCATACTTTTGTCCTATAGAATTGAACCATGGGCTTTGAGATAATCATGTTTTAGAGGAACATTACAGCCCTTACCTTTTCCAAGCAATGCTATACATTGTCTGTCAGTAGTCTGGCATGATCCATGGTAGCAGAAGGCTCCACCGGAGTCACAATATTGTCCATCACGTGAGTATGTGTTGGGTCCACAATAAGACAAGTTCCCATTACAATATTCCTCAAAGTCACACTCATCAACTGGTTTTCTACAAAGTGTATTAATTGGCTTTATCTAGAAGAGAAAATAAAGGGTTTCTTCCAAGAATGCTTCTCTCTTTCCCGCCCCCCACTCTTTCATTTCAATTTCCATTCTTCTTTGTAAGTTTCCAAGATCAAAAAGAAAAAAAAAAATCTCTGAATGCTTGAGAGAGAAACTTGTGTTAAAATCCTATCACCGAAGGCCTCACATGGGACAATGTAGCAGAGGACACAGGATAATATGACTGAGTCTATCAAAAGATGTTTCTGTAGCTGCAGTCAGGGATATGGGTCATATCCATTATCCCAGGCTCAGAAGCTTTGTCCCTATTCCTCTGAGCATGTGTGGACATGGTTGGTTCAATCAAAAGTTCTCTTCAGGTCTAGCAATGACAACTAATTTGATTATCTTATTATCTTTAGTACTTTGCTAGGTGGGACAGATTTAATAAAGTTAACTTGATATTGATAACTAAATCAATGTGCCCCTCCATTTTCTTGGTTTTTCAAGACAGGATTTCTTTGTGTAGCCTTCCTGGCTCTCTTGGAACTCTCTCTGTAGACCAGGCTGGCCTTGAACTCACAGAGATGCGCATGCCTTGCCTCCCCGAGTACTGGGAACAAAGGTGTGAGCTGCTGCCACCACCTGGATACTGTACCCATTTTTAAAGGATTTGCTTTATGATTTTATGGGTGTGAGTGTTTTTCATGTATGTATGTATGTATGTATGTGTACCAGGTACATTTGTGTTGCCTTCAGAGGGCATAAGAGGCATCATGTTCCCTGTGACTGAGTTACAATTAGTTTTGAGACAGTTTCTCCATTGGGGTTCCCTCCTTTCAGATAACTCTAGCTTGTGTCAAGTTGATGTAAAACTAGCCAACACTCTGAGTGTGTGAGTGGGTGCATGTTACTGTTCCTCTAGGTAACCATGACTAACACAACCCCATACTCACTGACTTATAAGAGCACCATTTGCCTCAGTCTTTGATTACATGCTGTTTACTTAGTTCAGCATTTTTTCTGTAAGATGTAAACATTAAAGGAGTTCTCTTTAGTTTTAACACTGAGGAAGTAGATAGCTCTAATATCAACAGAGTGCGGCAGAGCAAAAGACTTTCCCAGACTTTCACAGTAAACCGGCTTCAGCAGGTACCCAGAACCCATCTAACTTCTTCCCCTCAAATAAGGTACCCACAGAAAATACAAATGGCAGAAATGTTGGTGGTCACAGAGGAAACTTCTGAAAGCCAAGTTAGGAGAGAATAAACATAAGAAACAGCACTCATAAGGGCACAAGAAGTGACAGATGACTGAATGAAGCCAAAGTGTGGCATGGGTACAGCTGCATGAGAACGTCATCGGGTTATCAGCTAAGAGTGAGACTGATGCTTCCCATCTCTTTGGACTATATTTCATTTCAAGAAAATAATTGCTTGGCTGTTACCAAAGGCAGATTTCCTCTTACCGTGCAGTCTTGCTTACAACACTCTCCAGAGCCACATATAGCATTCTTCTTTAATCGGCACGACATAGGGTCACAGCAAGCTCTATGTGTACAGTTCTGCAAAGGAACGCAAAGCCTACTTGTGCTTCTGTGTGATTGCACAGCATCAAACAAAGCTGCAGCGCAAACTTTACAAACCAAATAGTTTCTCTTACATTTACAGTTTCAAAAAATCCATACTCCTGGAAATGACATCTCATTCAGCAGTCAACAAAGTCAACATATTTCTCTCTGTCTGGTACAGTTTAAGCAGACTACCCCATAAAACCACCCAGGGGAAAAGTTATTTAATCTCTTGCTAGCAGTCACTCCCTTTAAAACATTTCCATATTCTGGTGTTTACATCAAGCCTCATCAGCTGGTACTGTTTATGTGTAAATCCCAACATTGAACTGCCCCGGCGCTGCTCAGGCACAGAGCCCACTGCCTGTGGACTTTGCTTGGCTTGGTGCCTCTTGCCTGGTTCCTCAGAAACAATGAAAACTGGAAGGTGTAGAGCTGTGCCACCAGGAGGATAATCCCTAGCCATTTGGAAAGGCTCAAATTCACTAGGGGCACATGTAGCTAAAAACATTGTTGTCCAGTTCTGTATCCACATGCGGCCAGTAACTCATGGATAGACAGACATCAACGTCATCACAAAAGTACCTATTGATCTGGAGGACTCATAAATAGATGCCTTATTTTGTCTAGCATTTTAAACTTATAATTGCACTGTATACTATAGTTTTTATTTTATTGTAATGAATAAGACTGATTATTAAATATTAAACTGTTATATGCCTGAAATAAAGCCTGATTTATCATAGAAATATTTATTCATGTTCCTGTTACAACTTGCTTCTCAAAGATATTGGATTTTATGTTATATGCCCTTGAAGTTATTGATGCCTACTACAAACTCTTAGGGGAAATGCTGTTATATGCTCTACCCAGTCATAACTTTCCCATTTTCTTTTCAGTTCCATTGCATTTGTCTCCTGACACTGGTCACCCCAGAGTATCTACAGGAAGCTGTTTAGCAAAAGGCTACAGCTGAAGGTCTACTTATGGCTCTGTGAATTGTGTTAAGTATGATATTGAAGAGGACTAGCTTAATGAACACAAGTCAACAGCTGTTAATATTCCAAAGGTGAAGCTAAATCTCTAGCTAGGAAATGTTTAGTAGATCATAGCCCAGTCACAAAATTGCATGATTTCTAATGACAGACAAAAGTGTATGCAAAGGACAATGGTTGCTTTCAGGGAGAGAAAATGGGCCATGAGGATGCACATGGAGAGTGTTGTGTATGCCATCATCAACATTCACAAGTGTGTGTGTCACATATCCTCAGTAATTCCAGTTGGGAGATGATGGCCTGGGGAACTCTTGGAGTGCTACTATTCTTCGGTCCATGTTGAAGCTGGGTTCTGATGCAGCAGCAGTGCTGGCAGCTGTGTTGATGCACTCACCAGCAAAGAATGAAAGCAGGCAGGCAAAGGAAACACCCTTTTTCTCCTACTTTATGTAGACATTTCTTGCTATAAAGTTCCCTCTCAGAACTGCTTTTGCTGCAATGTAGATGTTTTGAGATGTTTTTGTTTCTGCTCTCATTCACCTCAAGATATTTTATTATTTTCTTTTTTTATTTCTCCATTGAACCATTAGTTCTTCTGAGGCATCAGCTCACTTTTCAAATATTTGTGTTTTGTTCCAATAATTATATTGGGACACTGTTGTTATAGTTTAATATTATAGGTGGTCTACATATACAAGATAAGGATGTATATTCTATTGCTAGTAGATAATAAAGTGGGGTGTGTGTGTGTGTGTGTGTGTGTGTGTGTGTGTGTGTGTTTATGTGGAGTATTTGATCTAAAGTGAAGTTTGAGTGAACTCTTTCATTACTTACTGCCTTAATGGTTTTCTGACTGTTGAAAGCAGAAAACTGAAGGCTAATACTGCATGATTATATATTTCTAACTTCATGTCTACTTCACAGTGTACTCTGTGTATGTAGTTGCTCCAGTGCTAAATAAATACATCCTTACAACCATTAAATACCCTCAATGATTTGACACTTGAGTTTCTCTTGACAGAACTTTGGACTTGGTCCTCTTTTAGAGGCATGCATTGTTACCACTCCTCTTTCCTGCTTGTTTGTATAAAATGTCTTTTAGTCTGTGGGGGACTGAACATCCTGTTATGGAATATTTTGGGTCCCAGACTCTGGCTGTCAACAGCAGTGACACCAGGAAACTCCAGCCCACTATTGTATTGTTAATGTCAGCAGGGCTACTTTTGTTTACCATGGCCTCAGGATAATATACCTCCTTATTTGCATATCTATGCACCTAAGCATCTGAATAGGCCTGCACCTGGGCAGGGAGATCAGAGGAATGTGAGTAACTTGAGGACAGAAGGTTAGAAGTAAAGCAGGCAAGCAGCAAGAGCAGAGACCTCATAGTATTAGCAGGATGGTTAAGAGACACCAGAAAAGATGGCTAATAAAGAAATGACTCTAGTTCCACAACATGGAACTGAGAGCTCTCTGAAGATGACAAGATGCCTGTGTTTGGTCTTTATCGCCTTTGGATTCCTCAAAGCTTCCAGGTCCACACACCCCCACTCGGGTAGAACCTCATGGACTAAGGCTGTGACATGCTGGGTCACGACATTAGTCCCCTCACTCAAAGTATGTATGTGTTCTTAACTCTAAAGTGAATATCCTGTTGGCAAAATATGTCTGGTTATTATTTGCAGCTGAAAGACTCAACTAAGATTTTATCAGAGGCATTGTGGGGATGAGCTCCCTCAGCTTCTATTTGTCTCAGAGTTTATTTCCTTGTTCCTGGAAGATGGGCTTCCTGCACTCAAGCTTCCTTTCCCTGATTTCTCTCAGTCCTTTGGACAGAAAATCCCTCTCTCTCTTGTTCCAAAAGCTTACTGACAAAATTCACGTGAGGACTCATAATCATCCTTCATATGTCATTTGCTTCAAAATTACTTCCCACTTTTTGGTGGAGACCTCATTAGGTTAAAACCATCTGATGACCACTAATCAGTGGTTCTCAACTACTCAGTTTAGGTTCCCATGACCCCTCTGGGGGAGTCACATATCAGATTTTTACATTACTTTTTTACATTATTAAGTATACAGGTAGTTATGCTCCAATTCACAACCATAGCAAAATCACAGTTATGAAGTGGCAATGAGATAACTTGGCATTTGGGGGTCACCACAACATGAAGAACTGTATTAAAGGTTAGGGGAATTAGGAAAGTTGAGAACCACTGGCCCAAACTATTTGATAAAGTATAAGTGTTCATGAATCTTCCCCCCAAATTTGGGATATTATAAGTAATTTTTAATGTGTTTTTTATAATCTTTTTCTCTTTTGGAAAGTTCCATAATAGGAAGTTTTGCCATTAAAATTGCCACAAAAGCTCTGTAGTCTTCCTTTATTCTTCATTTTTCTTTTCCTTCCCCTACCATCTGGCTGGATTATTTCAAAACAACTATCCTCAAGTTCAAACATTCTTTTTTCTCTTTGACCCAGTCTGTGGTTGAAACTGTCATCTGTGAGGAGACATGGGCAACACAGGTCTCCCAACTTCCCTCAAACTGTACCCAAACTCCAAAACTCCACTCAGTGTCTCTGGCTCTGAGGGCAGGAACATTCTGGTGACTCTGATCCTTGTGGGAAGGAAAGGGCATTTCAGACAAGTGGGCTCCAGGAAGAAGCACACAGGCATAAACATGGCCACAAAGAAACAGGAGTGCTGTGTCGTAATGACACCTTGGTATGATGGCAAACAGTAGGAGGCTGCATTCTGTGGAATGGAATGGTACAGAAGTATTCAGGAATGATAAAGTGTAGCTATAGACTCAGCTGTGGGAGAGTTGGGGACTCTGGTTTCCAGGGAGGTGAGGCATCTCAGTGGCTCAGATTTTGGAAGACTAGTCCATATACCAGAAGGCTGGGCACAGCAGCTGCTGACTCCATGAGGCAAGGAGACTTACTCAAGCAAAATCTTGCCATCCTCCTGGCAAGGATATCACATCAGTTCAGGTACTAGAGGTCATAGCTACTTCTCTGCTGTAACAGGAGCCAGTAACAAGGCAAAGCAGAGTCTTCCTATATAGCTCAACCCCATAGGAAGGAAGACATAACACTTGGTGCGTACATGTCAAACATCCATGAATGTCACTAAACAACAGCCGTAGGATCTCAGAGACAAAGCTGATTTGGAGATAGCACAGAGTGGCAGCAGCTTGAATAATAATAAGCAGGACACAGTTTGGATGTGCAGACTGTGAGGTATAGGGTTATTTGTCAATGAAAATGGCAGGTATCTTTGGCAGTGATGGGAATCCTGCTTACTTGTAAGTGGCATCATAGATTAGCATTTCCTTATGGTGCTCTGTAATCAGACTCTGGGCTCTACAGAGTTTCTGCTGCTGCTCTGTGATCTCTGGTTGTTTGGTTGAAAAGTTGTTCATGGGACTCTGTGTGTGTGTGTGTGTGTGTGTGTGTGTGTGTGTGTGTACATGGTCTTTCCAACTGTTTCTCAAATTCATGACTACTTCTATAATCATTATTATCATACACACACACACACACACACACACACACACACACACACACACACTGGAATCTTGAAATTCGCAGGCAAATGGATGGAACTAGAAGAAACCATTCTCAGTGAGGTAACCCAGTCACAAAAAAGACAAAAATGGTAGATACTCATATATGGATTTTAGACATAGAGCAAAAGAGTACCAGCCTACAATTTACACTGTCAGAGAAGCTAGGAAACAAGGAGGACCCTAAGAGAGACACACATGGTCCCCCAGAGAAGAGGAAAGGGACAAGATCTCGTGAGCTAATTGGGAGGTGGGTGGGGAGAGGGACCTAGGAGAAAGAGGATGGGAGAGGAAGACAGGAGAAAGCAGAAAGATTGAGTCAGGGGAAGAATAGTGGAGAGCAAGAAAAGAGATACCATAATAGAGGGAGCCATTATAGGTTTAAAGAGAAATCTGGCACTAGGGAAATGTCCAGAGATCTGCAAGGTTGACCCCAACTAGGAATCTAAGCAATAGTGAAGAGGCTACCTTAAATACCCTTCTCTGATAATGAGATTGATGACTACCTTATATGCCATCTTGGAGCCTTCATAAGTAGCTGATGGAAGCAGAAGCAGACACCCACAGCTAAAAACTGAGCTGAACTGGAATCCAGTTGCAGTGAGGGAGGAGTAATGAGCAAAGGGGTCAAGACCAGGCTTGAGAAACAGCTGACTTGAAGAAGGGGATGCTCATGGACCTCGGACTGATATCTGGGAAACCAGATAGGACTGTTCCAGACCCCCTGAATGTCAGTTTGAAAATCTGGTTAATCTATGGGGCCCCTGGTAATAGATCAGTATTTATTCCTAGTATATGGATGGACTTTTTGAGCCCACTCCACATAGAGGGATGCTCTCTCAGCCTAGACACATGGGGGAGAGTCTAGGCCCTGCTCCAAATGATACGACAGACTTTGAAGATCCCCATGGAAGGCCTCACCTTCTCTGGGGATAAGAAAGAGAATGGGATAGGAGGTTGTGGGAGGCAGGGAAGGAGGGAAGGGAGAGGGAACTGGGGTTGACATGTAAAAGAAGCTTGTTTCTAATTTAAATTAAAAAAGGAAATAAAATAAAATTGGAAATATTCAATTATATATATATATATATATATATATGATATAATATATATATATATTATATAATACATACAATATATCCAACCTTTTTCAGCCTATTTTGTGATGTTCATGTGTAATGTGTTAAAGGGAGGGACACTTTGGATGGGATAAATTATGAGGGAGTAGATAGATTCACTCTTATAGACAACTGGTCAGAACACAGAGAATGAGTGAACATGGGGTGTTCCACCCTGTTTGGTATGTCTGTACAGTAACACCTACAACTAAGGCTCAGGGATCATTGTGGAAGAGGTAGCCGAAAGAACAAGAGGGCCAAGGTGCCATTAGTGTCTTCTAGACCTGACGGAGATACTATGCCATGATATCTTTCATAGTCAACCTTTTCTCTAACATGTCACAAGCCTGCTGCTGAGGTCCCTGTCATTTTTCATGTGTAGCTTATTTTGATCTGATTTTCATACTTTATATCTTCTATAAGTGAAAGGATGCTTTATTTTGAAATAGTTTCATTAAGAACACTTGCCCCCGGAACAGTTTTCTCAGTATATTAGACAGGAACACACCCTACCATCTTATTACAAATAGTCTACCTCTTGCCTTTTAGTGCCTTGTTAGGGTTTTGGGCAAAGAGGAGATTGTATAGACAGTTTAAGATAGTTTCGTAGTCATTTTTCAAATGTCACAGGCAATAATTAATGTCAAAAGGTACTCCTTATAGGAAGTTACCATTCAAAGAACCAATATGCTAACTCACAAAAGGAAAATTAGGAGATTGAAGATTTTAGCTACAAAAAAAAAAGTCAACTTCAAATCTAACTAAAAGATAAAGTTTTTTTCTGTTTTTCTTACTGCTACACATGAGAAACTGAGAAGAGTTGGAGAAAAAAAAAAAAAAGAATACTAACCTTCAAGGTGCCACAGTCACATTGTTCATTACCTTCCAGAATCCCATTGCCACATATTCGCCTTGGCCTGCGGCGAAATGATCTCTCCATAGGCCAGTCCTGGAGACATCCAAGGTCTCTGCCCGTTGACAAATACTTAAACTCGTCCAAGCTACAAGTGCTGAAATCCTTCATACCACCAAAGTATCTAGAACACAACAATGTGCACATGATCAAAGCTGCTGCTATGCACTCCGGTTCCAATAATGCAATGTTTGACAAAAATTTCAAGAGTGCCATCCTTCACAGAACACATTAAGCACACTTTCAAACACAGTGACTGGATTGCTAAGATGTTTTCTCAGGCTTTTTTATTTCTACCAAGAAAAAGTAAAAACCAATAATACAATGAAAATAAAATTATCACATACTGTGTTTATGTAGAGCCTGGTGCAGGTGACCCCTCAGTACATGCAAGGTACTGATCCTTGGGGTTCTCGACTTCCACTACCAAGAGAGCAATGTCATAGATGCTAAAGTCTGTTATTTCTGTGCACATGTGTATGTGTAGAGTGTGTGTGTCTGTGTGTGTTTGTGTGTGAAGAGTGTGTGTGTGCGTGTGTGTGTGTGTGTGTGTACATTCATGCCTCTCTCTGTGTGTGTGTGTGTGTGTGTGTGTGTGTGTGTGTGTGTACATTCATGCCTGTCTCTGTGTGTGTCTGTGTGTGTACATTGTGTGTGCATGTGTGTCTGTCTGTGTGTGTATAGTGTGTCTGTGTATGTAGAGTGTGTCTGTATGTGTAAGTGTGACAGCATGTGTGTGTCTGTGTAGAGTGTGTGTATTTGCACATGTGTTCCCCTATAAGTTTGGAGTCTTAAAGCATGGGGACTGCTACTGATAATTCTCTTACTAGTCCCAAATAATTTGAACTTCAAAATTTCAGTCTTGCCCCCTCTGCCCTGACCTCTGCGTAGGGAGGACTTGCTGAGTCCGGAAACACCTCACTCTTGGCCCTGACGTCTGCTGAGGTGACATGAAGAGATAGAGAGACCTACACCTGCACCCAATGGAAGAAGAAATGGGAAGACAACAGAATAAGAACACACCCACACACCCAACAACAGAAAAACCAATATGACACCACCAGAATCTAGGGACTCCACACCAGCAAGACCTGAAAAGCCCAACACAGAGGAAGAAGAAGAGACAGACCTAAAAAACCACTTTAGGAAGATGATAGACACCCTTAGAGAGGAAATGGGAAAATCTCTTAAGGAAATGGAAGAAAAAGCAAAAATTTCAAGAAATAAATAATTCTCATAAGGAATCTAGAAAGCAAAGAGAAAACAGCCAAACAAGTAAAGGAAATAATCGAAAGAGTTCAAGGCATAAAAGCTGAAATAGAAACAATAAAGAAAACACAGAATGAGGCAATGCTGGAAATAGAAAGGCTGGATAAAGGATCAGGAACCAAGGATTTGAGTATAACCAACAGAATACAAGAGATGGAAGAGAGAATCTTAGGTGTTGAAGACTCGTTAGAGGATATACAGTCATCAACCAAGGAAAATCTCAAGTCCAGCAAATCCCTAACACAGAATACCCAGAAAATATGAGACACCATGAAAAGGCCAAACCTAAGAATAATAGGTATAGAAGAAGGTGAAGAAATACAGCTCAAAGGTACAGAAAACATACTCAAGAAAATCATAGAAGAAAACTCACCCAACCTACAGAAGGATATGCCTATGAAAGTAAAAGAAGCTTAAAGAACACCAAATGCACTGGACCACATAAAGAAATCCCCTCGCCACATAATAAGCAAAACACCAAACTTACAGAATAAAGAGAAAATATTAAGAGCAGCAAAGGAAAAAGGCCAAGTAACATATAAGGGCAGACCTATCAGAATTACTCCAACTTCTCAATGGAAACTTTGAAAGCCAGAAGGTCCTGGATAGATATCCTACAAACACTAAGGGAACATGGATGCCAACCCAGACTACTGTACCCAGTAAAGCTTTCAATCAACATAGATGGAGAAAACAAGATATTCCATGACAAAACCATGGAATTTAAACAATACATATCCACAAATCCAGCCCTACCGAAAGTATTAGAAGGAAAACTCCAATCCAATGAAGATAAGTACACTCACAAAAACATAGGCAATAGATAATCCCACTTTACCAAACACCAAAATTAAAAAGAAGGGGAAATCCACACATAATAACACCACCAACAATAAATCCAAAACAAACAAGAACCAACAATCAATGGACACTAATATCCCTCAATGTCAATGTTCTTAACTTGCCAATAAAAAGATATAGGCTACCAGAATGGATATGAAGACAGAATCCATCCTTCTGGTGTGTACAAGAAACACACCTCAACTTCAAAGACAGACTTTACCTCAGAGTAAAAGGTTGGGAAAAGATTTTTCAATCAAATGGATCCAAGAAACAAGCTAGTGTAGCAATCCCAATATCTAACAAAATTAGAATTCAAACTAAAATCAACCAAAAGAGATGAAGAAGGGTGTTTCATACTCGTTACAGGAAAAGTCCATCAAGATGAAGTATCAATCCTGAACATCTATGCCCCAAATACGAAGGTATATTCATTTGTAAAAGAAACATTACTAAAGCTCCAACCACACATAAAACCACACACACTTGCAGTAGGAGACTTAAATACCCTGCTTTCGCCACTAGATAGGACCACCAGACGGAAACTTAAGAAACAAAGGATCTAACAGAAGTTATGACCCAATTGGGTTTCACAGACATCTATAGAACATTCCATCCAAAAACAAAAGAATATACCTTCTCCTCAGCAACACATGGAACCTTCTCTAAAATTGATCACATACTTGGCAACAAAGCAAACCTCCACATATATAAAAAAATTGAAATAAACCCTTGTACCTTATTAGACCACAATGCTTTAAAGTTAGAATTCAACAACAACACAAATTGCAGAAAACCTACAAACTCATGGAATTTGAATAACTCCCAATTGCACCATTCCTGGGTAGAGGAAGAAATAAAAGAAGAAATTAAAGACTTCCTAGACTTTAATGAGAATGAAGACACAACATATCCAATTATGGGATACTTTGAACAGTGCTAAGAGGAAAGTTCATAGCACTAAGTGCACACATGAAAACTGGAGAATCGTCACACTAGAAAATTGACAGAACAACTGAAAGCTTTAGAACAAAAAGAAGCAAATTCGCCACAGAGGAGTAGAGGCCAGGAAATAATCAAACTGAGGGCTGAAATCAATAAAGTAAAAACTAGGAAAACATTACAAAGAATCAATGAAACAAAGAGTTGGTTCTTTGAGAAGATCATTAAGATAGACAACCCTCCATCCAAACTAACCAAAAGGCAGAGAGAGCAAGCATGCTAATTTACAAAATCAGAGATGAAAGGGGGTATATAACAACAGACACTGAGGAAATCCAGAGAATCATTAGGTCATACTTTGAAAACCTGTACTCCACAAAATTAGAAAATCTTAAGGAAATGGACAATTTTCCGGATAGATATCACTTACCAAAATTAAACAAGAACACATAAGCAATTTAAATCAACCTATAGCCCCTAATGAAATAGAACCAGTCATCAAAGGTCTATCAACCAAAGAAAAAGCCCAGGGCCAAATGGCTTCACTGCAGGATTCTACCAGAAATTCAAATAAGAGCTAATACCAGTACTCCTCAAATTGTTCCACACAATAGAAGCAGAAGGTTCATTAGCCAACTCATTTTACAAGGCTACAATTACCATGATACCCAAGCTACACAAAAACACAACTAAAAAAGAGAACTACAGACCAATATCCCTCATGAACATCGAAGCAAAAATACTCAATAAAGTACTGGCAAATCAAATCCAAGAACACATCAGAAAAATCACCCGCCATGATCAAGTAGGCTTCATCCCAGGGATGCAAGGATGGTTCAACATACAAAAATCCATCAATTTAATCAACCATACAAACAAACTGAAAGAGAAAAACCATGTGATCATCTCACTAGATGTCGAAAAAGCCTTTGACAAAATTCAGCATCCCTTCATGATAAAGATCTTGGAGAAATCAGGGATAACAGGAACATACTTCAACATAATAAAGGCAATATACGGAAAGCCAACAGCCAACATCAAATTAAATGGAAAGAAACTCAATGCAACTCCTCTAAAATCAGGGACAAGACAAGGCTCTTGTCTCTCCATACCTCTTCAATATTGTCCTTGAAGTTCTAGCTAGAGCAATAAGACAACAAAGGAGATCAAGGGAATACAAATCGGAAAGGAAGAAGTCAAACTCTCACTATTTGCAGACAACAAACTCTCACTATTTGCAGACGATATGATAGTCTACATTAATGACCCGAAAAACTCTACCATGGAACTCCTATAGCTGATAAACACCTTCAGCAAAGTGGCAGGATTAACTCAAAAAATCTGTAGCCCTACTATATACCGATGACACATTGATGGAGAAAAAATCAGAGAAACATTACCCTTTACAATTGCCACAAACAACATAAAAGACCTTGGAGTAACATTAACCAAAAAAGTGAAAGACCTGTGCCGTAAGAATTTTGAGTCTCTAAAGAAAGAAATTAAAAAAGATACCAGAAAATGGAAAGATCTACCATGCTCCTGGATAGGTAGGATCAACATAGTAAAAATGGCAAGCTTGCCAAAAGCAATCTACAGATTCAATGCAATCCCCATCAAAATCCCAACACAATTCTTCACAGACCTTGAAAGAACAATTCTCAACTTTATATGGAGAAACAAAAGGCCCAGGATAGCCAAAACAACCCTGTACAATAAAGGAATTTCTGGAGGCATCACCATCCCTGACTTCAAGCTCTATTACAGAGTTATATCCTGAAAACAGCTTGGTATTGGCACAAAAATAGATAGACCAATGGAATCCAGCTGAAAACCCTGATATTAACCCACATACCTAGGAACACCTGATTTTAGATAAACAATCCAAATGGATACGATGGAACAAAGAGAACATCTTCAACAAATGGTGCTGGCATAATTGGATTCAGACACATAAAAGACTACAGATAGACCCAAGCCTATCGCCTTGCACAAAACAAGTCAACAAATGGATCAAAGACCTTAACATAAATGTAAATATAGCCACATTGAACTTATTATATGACAAAGTGGGAACTACCCTTGAATTACAGGAGACTACTTCCTGAACATTAACCAGTAGCACAGACACTGAGATCAACAATTGATAATTGGGACCTCCTGAAACTGAGAAGCTTCTGTAAGGCAAAGGACACAGCAAGACAAAACGGCAGCCCACAGACTGGGAAAAGATATTCACCAACCCCACATCTGACAGAGGGCTGATCTCCAAAATATACAAAGAACGCAAGAAGCTATTCTCCAAAGCACCAAACAATCCAATTAAAAAGGGGGGTACAGAACTAAACAGACAATTCTCAATAGAGGAATCTAAAATGGCTGAAAGACACATAAGAAAGTATTCAACATCCTTAGCCAGAAGGGAAATGCAAATCAAATCAACTCTGAAATACCATCTTACTCCTGTCAGAATGGCTAAAATCAAAAGCACCAATGACAGTTCATGTTGGAGAGGATGTGGAGAAAGGGGAACACTTCTCCACTGCTGGTGGGAGTGCCAACTTGTACAGACACTTTGGAAATCATTACGGCAACTCCTCAGGAAAATGGGAATCAGTCTACCACAAGATCCAGCAATTCCACTCTTAGGCATATACCCAAAAGAGGCACATTCATACAACAAGGACCTCTGTTCAACCATGTTCATAGCAGCATTATTTGTAATAGCCAGAATCTGAAAGCAACCTAGATGCCCCTCAACTGAATAATGGATTC